TCGTTTAGCGTAGCGTGACCTCTGATTGAGGCCTCCGCGGCGCGCGCACACACACACACACACACACACACACACACACACACACACACACACACACACAGCAGCCAGACGAATAAGGGGAGGGCTGGCTGAGAGCGGCGCATTTGTCTCTGTGAGACGAGGTGTGTGCTGTGGTGGGTTTACGGCTCGTAATAAAGAATAGTAGAGGAGCGACCCCTGCATGAACTACCCCACTTGGTTAAACATAGTGTTTTTTTTTTGTCCCTCTCTGTGGTCGTAACCCTCCTGTCCCCCTCATTATTGCTATTCTTTAACCTTGTTTTCCCACAGTCCCCCCCCCCCCTCCCGCTTGTCCTCTTTGCCTTTAATCAGGCAGGGCAATGGGCAGAAAGAGGTGGAGGTGGTGGGGCGTCGTAGCTGTAGCCTTGGCAATGAGAGTCCTCATGTGATGTCCTCACACAGGTGGCATTTCACAAAGACTGGCTAACCGTTCCTCCATTACTTTGTGGAGAGGTGTTTAAAGCATAATATCAACCCTAAAAAACTGTTTCATCTGGTTGTAGCTCAGGGTGTAAATCTTTTAACTAGAATAAATCCATTTTTAATCACAGCTTTTTACTCAGAGCTGCAGTGTTCCTTATATAAAGTGCCACAAAGCAAGCCAAACAGGCTTTARATGTTTGTATTTTGTTATAAAACAGGTTCAGTTTCAGTTAATATTAATCTTGCAGTATAATGTGAAATGGATTTTTTATGTTACTAATTGTTTCTGCTGATATTTTACATTTTTAATTTGACTTCCACGATAGAATTTCATTTTAGTTCCTCAGTTAATTACTCCTAATGTGATTTATGGCGTGTCTCTGTCCAGTTTACAGCCAAGCCAGGACATTTATCTGTTAATCGGGTATAAGGTGAGCTCTAAAGGACCCAGACGCACAACACAGGTCAGACCTGACTGCTAATTTGACGGTCAGGCTCTCGAACAAACCCCCCCSCCCCCCTTGTTTCAGTGGGTTAAATGAAAGCAGCGACACGTTCAGGTTGTTTCCATGGCACTGCTGACCGCTGCTGTTGTCCGCCGAGTGTAACCTGCGGTCACTGACTCTGTCCACGGATGTGAGATGGGGCAGGCGGTGTTTGAACGTTTACAGCCCTGAGCTTGTTTGTGTTCCTCAGTTCTCAGAAGTATCTGCTGTACTAATATTCTACTCTGAATACGTGTTGGGTAATACAAGACCTTTTTGTTGGATGTAGTTATCAGTCGTCACAACTCTGTAATTAAAAATAAACAAGCTGTGAAGTCCTGCTGCTTCAGGGGTCTCTGTAACCTTGACAATCAAAGGAGACGTTTCTGCTCCTCGGCTCACTAATAAAATGTGCACCGAGCTGCAAAACGTTCTGTAATTATCAACTGGTGGTCCGTGGGCCTCTTCGAGTTTGTTGAATGGGGCCTTTCTGGTCAGTGAGGGTGACATTATAAAACTAAAAAATATATAGTGAAAGTGAACGTTCGCTATTATTTTTACACTTTAGGACAAGAGAAAAACAAATGTATTCATCAACAACTAAACTATGCATTCACGTTTTTTTTCTTCTTATTATCTAGTCATAAAGGTCTTTAAAAGGTAACCCTGATAGATGACTTACTTTAAGGCTGGAAGTTGGATTATTGACGTGGCCAACAGGCTGCTAACATGATCTAATCAACGTGTTTCACTCTTTGTATTATTGAGCACATATTTGCAAACAAATCGACAGGAAAACTGCTAAAGTTAGCCTTTTCTTTTGTGAGTGTAAAAACAAAAAAATGCTGTTCTTTTCAAAGCATTACCATTTAATCCATGTGCCTTTTGTCTTTACTTTCTTATCTCTAAAAGATATTTCTGTTTTTGTCCCTGTATAATTGAAAATTAACTCTTTTTCCTGTCACTCTTATCTGCCCTCAGTATGCCACGATAAATGCAAACATGGTGCCTGCAGCCCCGAGGGCCACTGCTGCCACGAGCAGTGCCTGGGTGGCTGTTCGGAGACGGGGAACGCCAGCAGCTGCGTGGCCTGCAGGAACCTGCTGCACGGGAGCACCTGCGTGGAGAAATGCCCCAACGGATACTACGTCTTCAACGGCTGGCGCTGCGTCAGCTTCTCCTTCTGCCAGGTTTGTAATCAGGGAACTTCTTTGCTCAAATTACAATAAAATATTTAGGTTTTGTTCAAAGCCAGGTTGTGTGAAGCACTTATGAGGAGTCAGTGTTTTAGTGGATATCTGTCAGAGCAATCTTAGTTTGGAGAAGAAGCTTTATGATGAAGGAACTACGCTAACGGATGCTTTGAATAAAACAAGCCAWTTGTTTTCTAAAACAACACAAAGCTGTAAAATTGCATGGCTCTTTATGCCAGCATCATATCAGTGGTCTGCTACTTCCTTTCTATTAAAAAAATATCCGATACAAATGTGACATTTTCTGAAAAACCCACTATATATGAAATGTTTATTTAAAACAATGCAAAGTGATTTACAGTTAATCATTATCAGTTATCAGAAAACCACCTTTAACTAAAACTAAGTTTATCAAATGAAACAATAAAAGAAATAAAAGATAGTGAATCCATACTAATACACACTATATACACACTGTAACATCACTTCATGGGATCAATAAAGTATCATTCAATTCATTTCAATTCACTAAACTAGTATGAAGTTTGATTTGTGTTAAGTGGCAAAAAATTCTTCAATCAGTCCTTTTTATTGTCTGCTAAGTTGTGTTTCTGTTTAGAAATCAGATGTTTTATTTTTAAACAGAAACCACAATGATCATTTTATGCTGGTTTAACTCCAATTTACACTGCACGAGTTTATACTGCACATGTTTACACTGCACGCGGTTCYGCTGTGAGGTGCTCTGAGAAGCATGCGCAGAAAATGCGTAATAAATTCAGTAATAAATGTGGAAGTCAGAGCAAAACAATGAGTTCTGTGGAAGACAGACTGGAAACAACAGTTGAAACTGAATTATGTTTTAAATTAAAACCCACATGTTTTGTGTGTATGCATATGCTGCTTCTGAAACGATTGTTTTGACAGTGTGTATATATAAATATATCCTTACATTTTTTAATATACCTAGGATTTCAACAAAATGTAGTCAGTCTTTGGTGAATTATTTTGAAAATATGGATGTTGTGCATGTTGCTTTTTCTACTAATGCAGTAGATGACTCCACACGTGCACTTACCTTCTGGAAAAAATAGGATCGAATCTAATTTTGGCGCTTCCAGTGATACTCCAGTGTTTCCCCTACCATTATATAGCCCCCCCCCCCCCCCCCCCCCCCC